TATTTGAACTTTCACACACACATACACACACACCAGGTCTCATGTATTCTGCCATATATGTTAAAACCCAGCCAGTCAAGCATTTTACCCAGACATCCTTCGGTACAAGTTCATCCACTAGAGTCTAGTCACCCTATCTAGAAATCTTAAGGAAAGTCTACTCTCCCTCACCCAGCAGTAATCAGTTTCCAGGATAGGGTTGGTCTGTCACCCAGTTCCCTAGCTCCACTCTGGGCCCTTGTCTGATTGAGTTGACATGGGTCCTGTGCTTGATGTCACCTTTGCCACACGTTCATATGAGAAGCTTCCAGTGGCCTGAAAGTCTGTTTCCCTATGGAAACATGGACCAACACGGATTCTCACAATCTTTCTTCCTCCTCTTCAGCAATGGTCCCTGAGCTGTGGGTGGGTGAGGCTTAATATAGGAGTCCTATCCAAGGACACACACTCTGCAGTACCAAGCCAGGCCTTCTTGTTACACCATCTTCTGATTGTGGACACTCAGACTCCTGAAGAACCACCCAACATGCATTGAGCACCCACCTCACCCCAGGTACTGGGCATGAAGGTACTGGGCATGAGAAGTGACTGCAACAGTGATTCCACCCTGGAGTGCTTACATTTTGTAAAAGGCCAGCTGTGGCCTTCTGTGTGCATCACACTCTGTTGTACAAGGAAGCTTCGCTGGTGAGAGTTGAGGAATGTACTTAGTATTCTCTCCACCCCGTTTCACTACATTCTGTGAGCCTTACATGTAGAGGTTCCACTGTAGATATGTCACCCCAGGGTGGGCATCTCTCAGACATGTTTTCTCTGTGTGAGGCTAGTTGAGGAACTCTGCAGTAGCTGGGTATGCTGTTTTACTAATTTACTTTAAAATTTTCTAACTTTGTTGAAGCATAATTAACAGCCAAAATGCATATGTTTAAACTGAACAATAATGACTGGTATATACGTATGTTGTGAGATGGTTACTGTAATCAAGTTAAAGAACATAACCATTGCCTCTGGTTGTTACTACTGTGTATTGTGGGGAGGACACAAGGCCTCTCTCAGCAACTTCAAGTATATAATGTACTATTATTATGTTGTATGTTAATCTCCAGAACGTGTTCACCTTGTAACTGATATTTTGCACCATTTGGCCAGTACCTCTCTGATTCCCCCTCCTCCGCGGCCCTGGCAAGTGCCATTCCACTCTCTGCCTCTGTGAATTTGACTTTTCAGGCTCCTTGTGCAAGTAAGGTCCTGCAGTATTTGTTCCCTGTAGGAAGCTTCATTTCCTTGAACGATTTATTCATATTGTGGCAAATGGAAAGGCTACCTACCATGGCTGAATAATATTCCATTTTATGCACACACTACATTTTTGTGTCCATTTGGCTATCAATGGGCACTTTATTTCCATGTCCTGGCTACTGATAATCATGCCCCAATGAGCAAGTCATGCTGATTTCAAAATACTGGTTTTATATGCTATATCATTTCTGGATATATATATATATATCTCCAGAAATGATATAGCTAGGTTATATGCTAATTTTGTTTTAATTTGGGGGAGAACTCCATACTATTTTCTGTAAGGCTGAACTGATTCACTGTCCCATCAGCAGTGCACAAGATTCTTTCTCCCCCCTACCCTACCAACA